TCTTTCCCCCTGTTTCTCCCTTATCTTTCGTATAGACGCTACTTTTCCCTTCTATTTTGAAGGTACATAATACTGCAAAAGACTGCTTTCATCTACAATATAAATTTCTTCTAACACACATATGGAAAACCAGAATATTACTGAGAACACAACATAGACAAATAAGAAATAGTAATGTTCTCACCTTTTATTGAGACTAAGCAAAGCCCTTCTCAGTGCTAAAATGGGTTCTTTTGCTCTGTAAGAGTTTTGGGCCATTTCAATACGAGCACACCAATTCAGGGAATCTCTACTGTGGTCACCATCTGGTTGCTGAAATATTGGTGCAATACTATGTTCCAGCTCACACAGCATATGCAACCTGTGTTAGCAAAATAAAGGCAAAAAATTGTTGAAAATTGCTCGCTGTTTGAGACACATGCAAGTTTTACACAGCTTTTGCCATTTTCTTTCTAAAAGCTGGCCATGTAAGTAATTTCAAATAGTAGGACTTATTTTAAAAGCAAAACTGCAACAAAACACACAAAATCACGGATTTGTAAACAAATTAGCTATTTTCTCACAATTCCTTTGCAAAGTTGCCGAACACAGAGACAATGAAGATCACTTGGAGAGGAAGTCAATCGTCAGAAAGAGTACTTCTATCCATTACTTTTAGCAACAATTCTTCAAAAGGTCTGATATTTTCAACAAATACCATTTTAGAGGCAATATACTATCTGTTACTTAAACACTTAATTTACAATAAAGTTAATCCATTTATTTAAAAATGCCATTATTAGCTGTCACTGTAAAGGTGCAAAGCTAAGAACTTGTAAACGTCCAAGTTCTCATTGACAGAGTCTAAGTGTAGTATGGATATCTGACAGAAACAGTGACAGAAGGCTTCCAAGTAGCCCAGATCAATGGCTAAATCTAATTATTTTGAAACACTTCTTTCTCAGTACTCAAACTCAATTTTCTAAAAAAAAAAAAAACAAAAACAAAACAAAAAAAAAAAAACACCAAACAAAAAAAAAACCAACCAAAAAACCACTGAAAACTTACCAACAGAAAATAAAATTAAGTAGTAATTAAGACATATATACTTAACTGTCTGGTTAACGCAGTATCTTGCCACAAGGATGCACGTAGAGTGCAGAGGAAGTACTAAGCCTTTTTCGATAACAAAAGGCTGCTCACTTGTTTGTCTACTACAGCCAAGTTCAAAATTTACTAAAAAATAGAAAGTAAAACTACGGAAGGGGATGGGGTTTCAATTTTTACCGCTTCATTGATAAAAGAAGGGAGTGCTTTTAGGCCACCATACAGATTAAAAGCAATGCTCTTAAGTTAATGGAGTTCAGTTAATGGAGTTACTGCCCTATATGTACTACTTTAAGCATGGAATTAAATTCTTGGTTTTTACTACCTGATACATAAACTTGCTTGCTGATTTTGAGACTATACCCCAGAATTTTATTGTATTTTTTGTGGGGGATAAATACAAATTCCCAGTTAATCAAAGGTTTCCAATTAGGGTAAGTATTTAAAAAAAAAGTGACAAAAAATGCACATCAGTACCATTTATTGTGAAAATGGAAAATTCTTGCTGCTGCGTAAGTAACTACATGATTTCTGGATTTGAAAATAGTGACATGAAATTCAGAAACCTGATAATATGTTCATATCCTCGCTGATAGGATCCTCTTTCAAAGCTTGCTGCTGAAAGGGGTACAATCTGTTCTGCTCGAACAACCTTGAGTGTTTCATAAAAAGCTGCTTCATTTTTCTTCTTGGCTGATGACAATAAATGTCCTAGTCTGACACTCCAGGTAGTGGACTTCTCATCTTTGGGGAGAAAAGAAAGCCTTTCAAACTCTGCTTCTCTAAGCATCTTAATCTGCACATACTAATTTGTCTTAACATATTACTGGAAAAATAAGTATTTCTCAGAACTAATTACTTGAATTTTAGAAATACTCTAAAATTCTACCCCACAATGCAGCCCCCTCACCCCAACAAAGAAATATGGCCTTACACTTGCTTGAAATTTCAACTCAAAGACTATACCATTTACAATCAAATACATTTACAAGACTAAAAAATTACAATAGCCGCCCCTTGATTCCAGCTGGTTAGACTAAAACATACACCTGTTCAGAAATGCAAGGAAGTATCCATATTTTGATATTACAATAACTTACCTGAAGCCAAATAATTTTCCAGTAAATCCCATCGTGACAGTTTCCAGGCTGCTTCCACTCTGTAAGTGTTCAATTCAGAAATCCATTCAGACCTATTAAAAGAAAACAAAGGCAATAAAAGCTTGTGCTGAACTCAGTATTTTTTTCCTTCCCCGCCTCAGTTTGTTAGTTCTACATGTTATTAGCAAATACTATTTATATGAAACTTCTCTTACTTGAAAAGAAGCAAAGTAAGCTTGCTTCTAACAAAATTCAGTAAAACAAAAGGATATGCATTGATAAAAAAAGAACAGCTGTACAACGCAATCCCACAAATTCAATTTCCAAGTCATGTATTTAACTTCTATGGAACATTTTAAAAAAGACCAACTTCCAACCCACTTATCCTATCAGGCTACAGAATAGCTATGGAACAGGAAACATGCAAAACAATGAATGAAAGATTCTATTTAACAAATTAAAGCACATATCAACACTGTACACAGCGCAGAGAAGAAGTACTAACATTTTGTCAAGTCTTGAAATTAAATTACAGGCAAAGCACTTAAAGTTTTCTAGCTTTACATTGCTAATTAGATATCCTTGATAAGCCTCATGTGCTTGACCATGAGCAAAAATGGCGACAGCAACACAAGAACTTCCCTGCCCAAAGCAGGGAGGTTGGAACTAGATAATCTTTAAAAGGTCCCTTCCAACCCAAACCATTCTACGATTCTATGATTCTATATTACTCAAACAAACATTGTATTAGATGCTTATCGTACCTGTTTGCAAGCACTCCATTGACCTGAGTAATTACTGTAGATAACTGACCAAGGCCTAACATGGACTTCACTACACCATGATAATGAATAATCTAGAAATAGGGGAAAAAAAATAATGAAAAAACTCACATATATGTTCATGAAATTCATGGCAGTCTGAAGGAGGAAATATGTCAATTTGGATGCTTTTTATAAGATGAAAAGGCATAATGAATTGCACCATAAGCTAAATGAACATTAAAGATAAAAAAATTAATAATAATAATTAAAAAAAAATCTACGATTACCCAAGAACTTCAATCACCATAGGCAAATTTTTGAACTGCAAACGTAGTTTGATGTTAATTTATTAACACCCTTAGAGTTGTGGATAAAAATTTGATTTAAAGAAATGAACAACAACAAGGAAAAAGTCACAGGAAGGAAATAACCCCAAAACCCAAAGCAAGTTCACTCTTCATAAAAATTATTTCCATATTCTGGGAATGAAGTAAGGTCATCAAAACACTCTGTTTACTATGCAAGTTATCAGCTGTGCTAGACAACCTCTGCTTCACAGGGAAGTGCAAGAAACCATAGGGATGTCCTAGCCTGGGAAACTTTTTACCAACTTCCATTAGAAAACTATTTGAAATATAGAAAGGGCAATACATGTTTTCAACTTTCTTTCTGCACTTAACATCACATCACAGTTTTCTTTAATAATTTTCCATTTGCTCTTATATTACAAACATTTTCCCTGGAAGTCAATAATCAAAAATAGTATGCCAGAATTACTCTGACTAAAACTTGTAGTAATCTGCTTTAATAGTTCTCTTGGCATGTACCAGTACTGACTGATACTTAAGCAACCCACTTCCAGGCCTTCCCTGGCAAAGGCTGAACTTTAATTGCTAAACTGTCCTAGCAAAAACCTGGGTATAAGCATCCAACTATTAACTGAAGCCTGCAAATTTCAGTATAAACCAAATAAGATTTGTTTCCACTCAGACACTTCCAATAACAATAATTATTCAACAACTGCCACAGTAAACTCTTACGTTCCCATTTCACTTAAATATTCTGAAGATGTATTTTTGGCTTCGTTTGCATCAGTTACAAATATTTTTTTTTAAAAATTTAAAAAAAAAAAGGAAGTTGTCTTGTACTTACCTGATCAGGTTCCAGTTGGATAGCCCTATCGTAACAGGCTGTTGCATCTCTTAACAAGCCAATACTTTCATGTTCAAGGATTTGTTCTTTCAGAGATGGTTCTGCTTTCCGAATTGCACTCACCCCAGCTACTCCATCTGGCTCATGCATAGCAGCATACAATTTCTTTATTCAAACAGAATTGGAAACGGACATTAAAAAGACCTCTAAGACAACAAGAAGATATTTTATATATAACATGCTCAGAACTGTGCATCTTCTTGAAAATGGAGAACAAACTACTCTGTATGACTTCTTGGCATTAAGCTTTCATGAAAAATGTCAGTTTTGCTGGGCTACTTCCAAAGTTGAGCCCTACTTTTGCTTAGCACACTATTATACTCATGATCTCACACTACAGAAAGAGTAACACACCAAGTTACCTGACACAATCTGTACAAAGGGCAAAATAAATATCCTATTATTACATGATAAAGTTGTATAATATGAAGCTGCAGATTACTTAAGGTGGAAAAGCCACATACAAAGTTTTTCAAATTGGAAACGTCACTGAGGTATATAAACCATAAGGAACCACAAACACGCTCATCCCACAGCTTGTCTTTTTTTTTAGTTATTATAGTTGGCTGTCTTTTCTCTGACAAAGGGCACAGAGCAATAAATGCTATTTTTTCAACAAAAACACATTTAACTATTGTGTAGGGTTTTACAACCTTTTATTACACATTAGAAAGCTATTCCTCCTTTTCATCTAAGAGGCATGCCAAGCAAGGGGAAGTAATAAATATTGCTGAAAAGACAGACAACTAAACACTTGTATCCAATGGCAAGAGTCTGACTACATCTTTTCTTCTTCCCATCTCAAAGAAGAATTTGACAAAGCTTTATTCATCTATTTTCATTTTAAAATAAAACAAACAAAACCCAAAAAGAACTTCTGAACCTGAAGAAATCCAAGATGCTCCTGAATATTTTGTTTCTTCTCTGTGATGAAGGATTCAAAGTGCATCACAGCCCTTGTGTAAGCCTTAGAGCGAAAGGAAGCCACAGCTAGTGTATCCTGAGGTATGAGGTCTAGAAAACGTGTCACATTTTGATATTCTCTGTAGTCCTCACTTGATGCTATAGAAGAAAAACATTTTAAAAAGTCTGTCCATTGAGGTTTCATTTATAAGAATTACCTTACGCATCAAAAGTCAGTTAATTCATGTTGCAATTTAGTGAGATAATCTGATTAATTTAAGAACATATTTTTCTCTTCTGTCAACAGTAATTTATTTAAAACAATCCCAGTGACCTTCCTACATCTTGCAAGACTGCACAGAATATGTTAAACCTTTAGAAAACTACCAAGAACTTACCATTCAATTTTTTAAATTTGGATCTGTATTTCTTACAATAGGCATTTAAAACAATGGATTTGGGGTAGGGCTGTGGAAATCACAATACGATAGCAAGAAGTGATAAAGCAGACTAACATACCATAGTAATATTGCATTCTTAAGTGGTCATAATGTGAGGTGGCAAATTTAAATACTTATTTGAAAATGTAAACATCACTTAAAATAAGCATCACTCACTTTTTAAATCACCTTTGTCTTTGCTAGACTTGTTAGAATTTTTCTCAGCAATAAGCATTTGAAACTTATGTCTAGCCCACTGAGTTAGATGATCAAGCATGGAGAACACTGTCTGTGTGCTCAGCTGACTTAGATCAGATGCACTGTCTTCAAGTCTCCTAGTAGACTGGTCATCATGTTTCAGAACAGCCATAATCTCTGCATAAACCTACACAAACATTAACATGATCAAAACAGTAGGAAACAGCAATTAACACAAAAATCAAACTAAAATACTAGATAGCTCAATTGTACATTCTAATAATTTTGGGCTTATTTGCAAGCATTTTTTGTCCCACAACCTTAAGAGGAAGAAATGATAAACCAAACAGTAGTAGCTGCCAGGAGGATCCATACAAGAAGAAAGCCTTTGAAAAGCAAACCCTTGGATTCAGAATAACTGCCACAATTATTGGAATTTTAGGTTTCAAAACACGATGAATGCTAGTGCACTTCTGCTGCAAATACAGTGCTTGAAGGTTTGATAAGAGTCAAGTTATCCACTGGCTACCAGATCACAGATTTAGTTTTTGCTTATATTTAAGTAAATACCATGCTGATAGACCTGCTTCCTGTTTGTTTTAGCCAACAGAATACAAGTTAACATACATAACAGGTGTTTATTGTGGCTGTACTTGTTCACACAAGAAAAACCATCACACCCCTTTACACATTCACAATTTTTAAACAGATATCTTAGCTGTGAAATTTCAAATTAATAGAATGCAAGTTTTGAGTCTTTTCAACTTCTGCTAAAACAAACTGAAGGAATGCAGACTGGATGATTCTTTTATCTCCTATCCCTGCTTTGCTACAAGACATCTATGAATCTTGCTCTGCACGAATCTGGTAGCTAAATAGATTTTCCACTTAAATTGTAAGTGTATGCAAGCAAAAGGAAAAAAATTATAGGTCTGAATTATTTGAAGTACACAAGTTCAATTTATTCCCTGCTTGTGTTGCACTCTCTTCCTCTCTGTATCACTCCAGCTCTGATGTTACTGCAGTCATAATTAACTGCAGAATATGTTGTCCTAGGCCCTACTGAAGAAATAGACAGAAATCCAAAGAAAAGCAGTTCAGCACAAACATGTACGAGTATATTCAAATCCCTGTCAGAAAGTTTATATTATTAACAGGAAAAGGAGTTCACACCTATCGAATTTATTCATGTAGGTCTACAGCAATTCTGCAGAGCTGAACAGCTCTTAGGAAGAACAGTTGCTGTGAAGAACACTACCTTCCTACACCTCACCTCTTGTTGATCCTCTTGACTGCACCCCAACAAAACATAGACAAGGATGTGCGGGAGCAGATAAATTGTCACTTTATAGTCATTCTTCATCATAATACTGCAGCAATCGAAAACTTTTCTGGCAAGATCATGTCGTACCTATAGAAAAATATTATTTCCAGGAAAAACATCATTAGACAACTGCAAATGCCTGAACAATTACTAGGTTTATTTTTGTTGACAAATAAAAATTCCACTCTACCAAATAATTTTAAGATACTTGTCTCCTACAGAAGGTTCATCAGATTTAAACTCGCAACGAGGATGCCAGATGTCAGCAGCTATTACATGTTTCAGTTGCTGATACCAAAAAAAGGCAGGCAAGCATCGCTTACATGTTCCACTTTTCCATGTTCTCTACACCATGGCGAACCTGCACTGGCCGTAGAAAAAACCTTAGGGCCAAGAGTCTGCTACTGCACTCAGCCTCTCTTCTACCCTTAAAAGCTTGCAAAAAGTAGGAAATTATGAATTTTTCTGTCTGAAACAGGACAGTGTAGCTACTGAGCTACTGTGATTAAGTTATCTTCTTAAACTGTTTGATTTAGAAATGAGATTTTCAGTGGGTCACTTACCTTTTGGAAAGGAGTAAGAAAAGAAAGAGAAAAATACTTTTTATATGCTGGGACTGTGGAGCTATGGGGAAATGAAAGAAACCCACCAGAAACTGAGAAGATAAATTTGAGGTTTTCCAGAAGCATTTCAGATACTTTTCATAAGCATTTGTCAGTGCCTTCAGCTATATAAGGGTCTCTGGACAAGGGAAAACTTCATACGACTTCTGGCTTTGACACAACCTGTGAAACCTAGCCAAGAAGGAACAATGCTGGGGAACGGAGGGTGCACGGTTACCTTGATGATGCAAGAAGCCTTTAGGAATGTGCTTTAACAGGCCTATACAGAATAAGCACATTCTTCCATCCATCCCTGACTTTCAAAAACCAACATGTAGTTCGAGAACTGTGTTGTATATACCAATATAGAGAGCAGATTTATTCTCTTACCTTTGTTATAAGATAACCTGCCCAAGTTGCTGACCATTCTGCAAAATTATCGCCTAATCTGCTTAAGTAAATTGGCTTCTTCATATTAGACCAATTCACAGCCTTTTGATAACTCTTGTACCTGTAATTTTTAAAAAATCCGTTCAATAAAACTAACTTTTTTTTATTTAGTATAATAAAAAGCAATAGCACATCATTAATTATGAAGTTCCCTAACTGGAATCATATTAGGTTTCATCTTCTGAATCTTTTAAAAAAGAATTAAGAAATTATTTTCAGTAGTCACCATATTTTATTCTAGAGCTTCTTAATATGAAACATGAAATACAAACAACCTAACATGCTTCCATAATTTTTAAGTATATGTCAAAGCGCTGTTCAAATCCGTCTTTTGAGTACTATGGTTTTGACAGGAAAAACGCAGAACACATATGAAGGCCAAGAAATGCCCAAAAGTTTATTTTCCAAAAAGGTAAAACTTATGACAGATGAGCATGACAATCTTCAGGAGGAAACAGAAAGGAAACATTGTTGATTATTTCAAATTAACGTGCATACATAATATTAAGTTTTCTTTACATTTTGTTTTGTTGAATTAATGATAAAAATACAGTCAAATTAAAACCTAATGAGCTCTTCCTACCTCTATAAAGGGTAGCAGTAAAGGGATATTAACGCATTTAAGTACAAACTCAAACACTAATGAGAATTTGTACAGAGGAAAGAAAACAGAAGAAAAAGCTTCAAAACATCATGTAAGAAAGACAATGCTCTAGGGACAAAGGCAGATCTAGGCAAAGTATGAGCTCAGAATTCTGTTCTTTTGATTTACAGAGAATTAAATTCAAGAAAGCGTTAATTCAGCTTTACATAGAAAGACCTTATTTGAATTTTGTATCTACATATATCACTCTTTACAGAAGAGTAACAATCACAAAACCAAATGAAGTTATTGTTAGCCTCAATTAAAAATGTTTTATTAAAGCTGTTATGAAAAGAAATTACTTAAGTTGTCACATACCGTGTATTTAAGTGAGGTTCCAAGATCTCCTGCACGTGCTCAGGAAACCTCCTCCAAAGCCTGGAGCCTGGGCAGTCAGTGTTTGTCTCTCTACAGTCATAGATAGACAATAACTCCTGAAAAGGTGTGGTTTACATGACACAGTTAGCACTGAAGATAATTCATGGCCACAGTAGTAACAAAACCTGGTGTACATACCGAAGTAATGAGATAGAAGTCACAGAATGTTTAATTCAGAAATTATAACTGCAAAACTTTCATCCAACATTATTAATCCCCTATCACTAGGCAGTGTTGATTTCAACTAACTACTGATTCCCCAGATTCCCCAGTTGGTGTTCGGAACACATCATCCTGTATGCTTCACATCTGCCAATAAACCGGGACTAGAAGTCAGTCTGATTCCTCCTTGTGCATAAACTAATGGAATTTTCTTATTCCGCTGACTATAGGAGGCCACTCATTTTCTCCTGGAGCAAACAATTGTCCTGAAATTTTTACAAAGATATTAAACAAAGTTGACAAACCAGCACAAAAGACTAAAGTCTGAAAATAAGGGTAGGCTCACTTTTCAGTTGCTTCTTAAAAGTGTAAGCTGAAACCCTCTAAAAATACATACTGCTTTTCATTTCTGCCTATAGAACCTGCACCATTTCTAAGTCAGTCTCAGGATTGCTCTTTGAATCTCTATGTATGGACTATTAGTTACCTCGGAAACATCAGATCTCTCAAAATACCGTGACACAAAAGCAAACAATCTTTCTAATTCTCAGTGAGCACTGAGGAGTTCAAAAAATAAAAATCACTATCTTAACTAACCTTTTACCTTGTAATTTAAAGCTGTATAAGATGAAGCTTCAAATACTTAAACATGAACTTCAAAATGTATGTCTATATTGCATGCCACTATGTTCAGTGTGATAGGCAATCATTTGTGAAGAAAAAAAATGCAATCTAACCATGTATCTTACCTGAATTGCGTATGCTGCAGAATCCTGAGCACGAACATTATCAGCATAAGCAAGGAACGCTCTGGTCAGTTCCATTAATAACCCATAGGCAAAATTTGTATCCTCCACACCAGCCTCAATCACAAACAGAACACCAGTCTTATTAAAACAAACAGAGTAATAGCTGTATCTTTAATCTCCAAATTATCACTTTGAAACCTGACCCTAAACTGGTTTAGATGAGAAAGCAAACACAGATTTTCAAATGGTCTAAAGATAAGAGGTTCCCTGCTCCCAAGTAGTTTACAAAAACTCTTTGTGCTAAACAAAACACTACAGAAACACTTCTTACCACAAACGTAAAACGCTTTCCTTGAGTTTCACTTGTTGAAAAATCCAGCCTGCCAGGATCTATGGCTCCCAGTTCACCTAAACATTCTCCACAAAGTAGTCGGGCTTGAGAATTTGCATCCTGGCAGCCGATTAGAAGTACAGTTACCAACTGGGAGATGACTGGCTCCACAGTTTCGCTGTCTGTTACACACTTTATCAATTTTTCCTAGGAAGTTAAAAGATAAAGATGAGTTATTCTACAACCATGTTTATGGTAAATATTCTTGGAAATTTTCCATCTGTAACTCATTCTCACTTTGTGTTTAATTTACCCATGACTTTAAGTTAGTGATTCAAATACTGTCATTTTGTAACTGTAGCCCATTTGCCCTGAATTGCTTGTTACCTTAGGAAGGACTAAACAAATTAATGAAGGATTGGAGCCTCAACCAATAATGTTGTCACGGCCAATATTGTATCTCATTATCATAGAATCATAATCACAGAATGGCCTGGGTTGAAAAAGACATACACCTCTCTCTAACTTAATTTTCTTTCCTTGGTCTCACCAAGAACCTCTCTTCTTTTCTACATTAATCTTTTTTACTTATCTGTCCCTTTTCTTCATGTGTTCTGATACTTCCTCTCAATTTCTTTCACGCAGCTGCTGTCATACGTTCTGGTTTCATTGCCATTTACATCCTCATTTCCCATTTGTTGGTCATTTCTTCACTCTCACTCCCTACAAAGCCCAGGGTTTCAAGTCCTTTAATCAATGCCCATCATTTAAATCATATTTCCTTTCTTTTTCATGTTGGCCCAGCTTTTATTCTCCAGTTCCACATTCAGTCCAAATAAGAAAAAAAAAAAAATTCTCTTAATGACATAAAGACATTTGTCATTGCTATGTTTAATGAAAAATTAAACCACAGCCAACATAATAGAGAAAATAGTTCCACAAGTTGGGGAACTAATTAATTTTGATTTGCCTCTATTATTTTTCTAGACTTCTAAATAACCAAGATGTGGTGAGATTTTGCTGACCTGAGCTGCAAGAATTACTGATTGGCCAGGAAGATATTCAATGATTGTTTGTTCTTTAGCTAGGATTTTTTAAAATTTCTGATTGAAGAGTGTCCCATGATCTTACAGCTACTAATAGGACAGATTTCCCACCCCCCCTCCCCCCCAAAAAAGGCCACATACGCCCCCCTCTGGGCTAATAACCACACAGATTTACAAAGCAGTATCTTCAAAACTTGTACCTGTCTATAAATTTTATTTGAAGGTGATCAATGGATTCACATTTTTGAGGGTGGAAGGCAAAAAAGAAGAGGGGGAAAAAAATATCAAAGGTGTGAAGTGGTCACATACATCTTAATGCTTTCAGGTATTACAGTTGAACACAAAAAACCACTGGCTTTAGTATGGCTTTTGCATCAGGAGACTAACATATATGTTCTAACAGAGAGCATGCCCACACAACAGATTGCTGAAAGACTTCTTAGACATCCTTCCTCAGAGCTGAAAAGATACAAAATATACCACTAGCCTTGCTGAATCAGTATCACACAGATTTAGAAGGATTTTAGAGTCCTCTTACAAGGAGCCATGATGGACAAGAACCCCTCTCCCCACCATATTAAGAAATGACTATCTTAACAAATTGAGGAGAATAGCACAGTTCACATGAATATCCAGTAATAGGAAGGAGTTTCAGATTGTTGTTTCAGATGCTACTTTGATTTATTTTTAATTCTATAGAAAGAGGTTCTCTATACCTGATTTGTATATAATGTTTCTTTCAGGTTGGTAAGTGCATGAATACGAACATCGACATTCTCATGCTGAATAGCTCTCATAGACAGCTGCAGTGTTGTCTGCAAGTCAGTGCTTTTGGAGGATTCCTGAACAAGAAATGACACAAGATGTTCAAATTAAATATAACAGGAACACAGCTACAGCTAAGCAGCATCTCAAAGAACACAAGTGAGAACACGTACAAACAACTACCCTTCTGCCTACAGTCTCACCTATATCCACATTACATTGTCTTCCTGTCTATTTTTTAAAATGTTTTCCCCAAAAAGGTGCTATATTTATGATGGTGTAATAAAAATTATTAAATCTGAAGAAAACACTTTGAGCACCTCATTATCTAAAATAAAATTAATTTTTATTTTTGTTACCTCATTCCCACTAAATAAGTGCTATTCCCGATCCCTTACCTAAACATTCTGAGGACAAGCAAAAGAAAAAGAAATTGACCACAGAGTACTCCTAAAAATACACAAACTTTGCTACCTTTAAAGAAAATATCAAAGTAGCTTCTCTTGTAACACATTCATTGCCATAGCTAATACTGCTGACTTTTAATCTTATAATCTCTTCGGTCTCAAAAAGATGAAAAGTCAGCATACAGAAGATGCTACAGAAACAAGCATGTTAAACATGAGCATGTTTTACTCCTAATCGGGGAGAATCAGAACCTGCTTCAAAGTATTCCTGTGATACACAAATTCTGTTTTGCTGTGGATGCAGACAAATACTATTTCCACTTAGCAATAAACTTCACATGTTTTCCTGACTTGTCATGAATTCATTTGATGCATTAAAAATAAACCAAAAAAAAAAAAAAAGAAACTGTACCTTTCTGTATTCCTGAAGGACAACTTGAATTTCTTTTAGTTCTGGAAGGTCAGGCAAAAAATATATTTCATGTAAGAAATCTCGTACTGCATCCCTAATAGTTGCAAAAAAGATATTGCAAAGAAAATAGCAAACATTAGTTGGATCAGAAAAATCTTAGAAACCCATCAAAAGAAAGCAGTGACATGTAATGACTGAAAGACAAAAGGCTTGAAAAGCAGAAAAAAGGTAAAATCCCTGATTTTTTAAATGTAATTAAGTATATGTATTCAACAATTTGTTTCTCTTATTAACTCAACTAAGCCACAGGTATTTCTCCTCTATACTTTAAATTACTTCCTCTTTTAAAGACCATTCTTCCCAAAGCTTTTGAAGTGGCCATTCACCTCTATCAGGTTTGGCGCTCCTTTTTTTGGACACTGGCCAAAAGATAAGAATAATCCTATTTGATGTGAATCCAGTTCCAGTTTTCCTCATGAGAAAAGAAAACACACAACCAAAAAAAGAATTCTGTGTTCCTAACATGAAGGAATCTTAATTTTGCTACTATGAGCTACATAGCCTACTACAAGAGCCTTATTATTCCTACTGTCACCTTTTATTTTTAATACTATTGGTATAATACAGTGCAAGAAAAATGAAAACCCAGCAAAAGTAATCAAGATATAAACTATTACCATTCCTAAAAAAATAAAAATTTTCAGCTGCAAAACCTAAGATGAAAAAGAATTAAGACTCAAGATTGTTTTCAAAAAAGTTAAGTCACAAAAATCTAGGTCTTTTGTATTAGACTTTGATTTTATTTTCAGCTATTGTGACCACTTGTGAAGATGATGCATGAAATCTTAACATTAAATTCTGTGCACTTCGCAATTATAACTCTAATTATTGAGAGAAACAAAGAATTCACATCACCCCTATTTCCAACTCTGTACACTTCTAGTACCTTAGAGCAAATGTTAGCAACCATTATCATTCTGTTTGCGTGCCCTGTAGACTGACGTCATTTTCTGTACCAGTAGAAAAAACACAGAAAGCTGAAAACTTGGCAAGGGGCATTATCTGAATGGGTTGTAACTTTATAAGGACAATCTAAACCCACCTTTTCAGATTAAGCTGTCACTTGTCATATTTCAATATCTCATTGCAATTTAGAGAAGTGAGACTTTTATAGAACAACAAACTATTTTACAGAAAAGCAAGTTTTCTCATCTCAGTGCTGGACAACTTCGGGTTATCCCCATTCCTGTTACAGGATTTAATCTGTATAACTGAAAATATTTTGTATGGTACCTGTTCTCAACTATGAGAAAGTAAAATACTGCTGTAGTTTCCTTTGGTTGGATATGTATAAGGGGTAATAACGCTACTATCACATGACTAAGCAAGGAGCCAAGGTATGAATGGTCCAGACTTCGAACAAAACAATCCCAGGCTCTAAAGAAAAGAGAACAAAACAATAGCAATCAATGATTCTTCTCTGCATAAAGACATTTCAGGCAAGTCACGAGAAGCACTTTAAGTTATTTTAGCTCTGTGGTTTAGATTACTGTCTAGAACAAAACAAAACAGGGTACTGAAGGACAGAAATAACAGGTATGTCACTGTTTGTGTATACTATCCGTTCACCTGCAACACAGTTCTGGAAAGTCATCCTTGTATCTTAGAGCTGTTCTCAGTGTAGTCATCATCTTCACTCTTACTGAACTGATGTGTTTGGGACCCATGAGCTTCATTAAAGACATAAGACTGTTTAAAGCCTAGACATAGAGAAAAGGCATTTTAGTGCATTAAATAACTCAGTGAAACATATACAAGCCATATTTTCTAATAAAATCAGGCTACCCTGGCTTAAGATATCATACTCTATAAGACATCAAATTCAGTTTGATGTTTCAATAAAGAATTCAGGGGTTAGAGGAAAATAGAATGAAAGGGCATCTGTAATTACAGGAATGTAACAAAAGGGTGGTTATTTAGGCTGTTGATAGATTGATGAGGGAAGAACTGTGGACACCAAAGTAGTTCATGGTTATAGAAGTCTGTTATAAGACATGATTGACTATATGTCTAAAGTCTTCAAGCTGAGAAGGGCAGGTTTTGAAAATATAGAGAAAACAAACAAACTTGCACTAAAAAAAAAAAAAAAACAACCTACAAACAAACAAAAACCCCCAAAGCACCAACAATAAAATTGACACACAACTTCCAACAGATGTGACTGGTAAGCTTCAGGGAAAAGGTAATAGCTCAGTTGTCAGTGGGACTGATGAAAGACAAAAAAGAAACCGAGATGCAGAAAAAGCAGGCGGCATTTCAGTCACAGTAACACTGCACCAAACAAGACAGTACAGTGTCCAACATGACAGATCAGTACCACAGGAAGAAGCCTGAGCCTGAGGAAAGGGAAACTCACCAAGAAGAAAAAAATAGAACAAGAAAAGATAGAAACGACAGCAGGTACAGCAGAAGTATTGCTATACAAACGAAGAAATTCCGAAAGCATGATGACATGGGGCTAGGAAAATGAGAGTATCTCAATGTGAATATCTGAGAAACAAAGCTTGAGAGAACACCAGAGAAAATGCAGTCCATCAATTTAAAGGTTATATATCCAAGCACTGAAAAATTCCCTAGAGAAATTATCTGCATTACCTCTTTGAAGTGTCTAAAAGCCCTGTCTTGTGGCTAGAAGCACTACCTCAGCAGAGCAGAATTACCAGACTTCGTCTCAAAGTGTGAGCTCTAATTTCTCTAAATGCTCTCTACTGTAAAGTTGAAAGGAGCTGCTCTGTGAGAAGCAAAACCAATAAAGCCCAGTTGCTCTTGGGTTTGCATGTTATTCTCTCTAGTTTTGCCCTTTGGTGCCTTTGTACCCCTGTTCCCTACAGTAACTCCAGTGTTCTTCCACATTCCCTCATCCTCCACTTTGTTTCTTTCACACATATAAAACATTCACTTGGATTCCTCCTCTATAATTACTGGTTGAGTGACTTATTACATAGACCATGTCTGACTGAAATATGTACATTAGCTGACCATTAAAGAAACAAAACGAAACAAACTTCTGAGCTTACACAGCAGTCCTACCCACAGTGAGACCACCAGCTTTCAAGAATCATGCAGGAACCTTACTATCTTTGAGATTTCAATGACAGTTGCACAATCACATCAGTAAAAATAGGCCTTCCTTATCTTTAATATTCAAAATTAAGTTTACACACCTTTTTTTTATCCTCAATGCCAACACTGGAACTCAGTAACTGCATATTAAAAAAAGCCAAGATACCAAGCAATTTAGGTTGCAGATAATCAGCCTGTGGAGAGCAGGGAGAGAAAAAAAGCAAATTATTTTACTATTAATGCATTCCTAAGCTTAAGAAATTAAAAAGCAAGTATGAAATGCTAATTCAGAAAAACAAATAAGAAGAATGCCAAACACATACACTGCTCCTTAAGACACATCAGCATCAATGTAAGACACCCCTATTAGGCTGTAGGGCTTTTTGTTTTGGGGGTTGTGTGTGCGTGGGGCGGTGGTGTTGGTTTGTTTGCATACTTGGGATGTATCTCCCTATTACACGAACACTTAACATGAAATGACAGCCTTTCCTCCACTTTCTGCCTCAAATGAGTGATGTTCAGAGAACATCAAACTGCCCTCACTCTCAGACTGGAGAGAAAACATTGAACAAAATTGAATATAAATATTTTGACATCCTTACCATTTGTTCAGGTGATGTTATTTCTCTAGGTCCCTGATAGGGATCATCATGAGATGCAAATGAAGCCAATATCGACAAACCATTGAAGACTTGCTGATAGTGTTCTCCTATACGCAGCAATAATTCATTATGCAGTCCCTGGTAGTCCTGCCTCAGCAAGCTGCCCAGTTCTATCTCAGTCTCATTCTATAATCAAATAACAAACAGAAACCAAGTTTTCATTTCATCACAATGAAACTAGCACACAGAGACAGGAGGCACTGGAGTCTGGTTGATTTATCACGGAAATCAAAGAAAAAGTTACCAATCAACTCGATGTTAGGTAAACAAAGTTTTTGAATTTAAGTTCGCAAAGTATCTTGGAACAGTTCCTCAGAGCGAATGGAACAGATTATAAGTAACGAAAAGAACAAAACTTCTGCATATACAGTTTCTCCACCTATGCTTTGCAAGACCTTAAATAAGGCAGAAAGCTCACTATTCATCAATTGTTGCTCCTAATCTACACGTATAATAGAGCAAATGCCAATTTACCTTAAGGTAATGAAGCGCCTGCTCAAGCTCATCCTTGGAGCAGGAACAGACCAGATGAGAGAAAATGTATTTGAAGTTATTGATTAAAATCTCTCTTCGGTTTACATTCAACTGCTTTGCTATGGTTCGAATAAGTGTGGAGGCTGCAGGACTAGCCTTGGCTGCAAGGTCCGGAAGCAAAACTTGTAGGGTCCGCTGGTAAATTAAGAACAACACTTAATGGAAAAAACAAACAAACCAACAAACCTCTCCAAAACCCCTTTGTTCCATTTGTGTCAGTACAACACCACACATCTCTGGTCATACCTATGACCCCAGGTATGAATAAAGAACTTTAATGAGATAGAAATACCCAGTAAAAATGCAGATAAAATAAAAAGTAATTACTTAAGGAGGTGCTTCATCTAACCAATACTGAGAAACGTGCAAACAAAAAGTGACCTAGTATTTTCTGTGTCCATCCAGACTCTCCACAAAAGGAAATCTTAAAAGAAAAAAGAAAAACCCACAACAAAAAACACACCCATACACAACACTCTCCCAACCTACCAGCCAACTAGAGCACTGCTTACTTAACAGCTGTGCATTTCCCACCTACTAACAAACAAAATACAAGTATGAGTATGAAGCTACTTAGGCTTCAAGTAAAACAGGTACCTAACCAGATCACAAGATCTATCCACAGAACAGTAGATTTCTTAATTTGAAACAAGAAAGCAGACACCATGTAAAAAAAAAAAAATCACACCTCTCAAAAAATCCCTCCAAGTGCACTAAATCATGCATATAAATATACTGAATGACTACTCTAGACCTTAGTCGGTTCATCATCTGTCATACTTGAATTAACACTGTAGCCATCACTGTAACTCCTTGATAAAGCTGTTCCTCTGTATTTGAGCTCCCAGATGCAGCAGTATTCTATATTGTAACAAACAACAGCAACTAGAGACAAAAAATTCAGATGTGACATTCACGGAAAATTGTAGACTAAAATAGAAATCCACAAGCACACACTCACACACACACAAAAAATCTAAAGTAAAAAGGACAACTTACTGAGAGAAAGCGATTTAGATCTGGAAAATCAAACACATTGGCGATCTCGGATAACATGTCCAGAGCCATTTCTCTCTGATGAGCAGCTGTTTGTTTCTGTAGCTCATTGCCCTGGCATGGAGCAGTCAGTGCTGCCATCTGGCTGGAGTGAAGGGATTCCACCAGAAACTAAGCATGAAGAAATACATATTTACTATTATTTTCCTTTTTTTTTTGCTCCCTAAAAATAAACACAAGAGTATTGCTCCTCTTTCTATGCATCTGTTTTTCTTTCTCATTTATTGCGCATAAATTTATTATTATTACTTTGCAATAGAACTGGATTTTCATCCACTTAAAAACTGCATTTAATTTTGCAACCCAGGATTCAGAGATTGCATTATTAAAAAACACATTCAAAATTAGAAAAGTTTGCTTTACAGAACTTCTGTCTTTAGGCAATGGGTGTAACAAAAGAACAAATCAATCACGTCAGTATTATACCTGTAAAACATTGACTCCAATTCCAATTTTAAATCACAGCCTCTTGTGGCAACAGCACCACATAATGCAAAAAACTACACAGTTTCTCTATTTCAGAATGACAGCATCAAGGGAATAAAAAAGAAAAGCAGTACTGTAGAGAGGAAAAGACTATGACAAAGTCAAAGACTTCCTATTCCTTCCTGAATGTTTGTGGGGGTTTTTTTTGTTTTGTTTCTTAAACAATCTCTCTCTTATACTATGAGATTTCACCTTGTAAAATACTGCAATTTTTACCTTTAATACCATTTTCAAAATAAATAAAAAGAACCTAAACATATGCCTTTCTAAACCACCAATTCTTTTCTTTTTACCTGACAGATAGGTTTCTTGTACTGACTGAAAAAAGCTTGCAGTTTTACAGACTTAGCTGCCGCCAGGGAGCGAATTTCCGTGTATGCTGCTCCAGCCACAGAAGCTGACTTGGATAACAAACAGTGTAACAAATGCAAGAGGGCAAATGGTACCAAATCTCCTTTTGACGCCCTTACAAAGAAAGCAAAAGAATGAAAAAGGAAAAACATCATTGCATTAATTAAATGGTTTAAGAATATACAATTACCATAATGCAAAATGACTCATCATCGTATTTGCATAGCTTATCTTTACTTCCTATGACAGGGCAAAAAAAAATGAGGAATATTCCATATGAATCAACAGCTTGCAAAGTACAGTTGTAAAGGACTCTGAACAAAAGCTGACCTTGAAATAAGTAATTTAATCTTACATTTACACTTGAGCAAAAAGTTACTTTGCATCACAAACTGACACTACTTTGCAATTTTCAAGAGACTATAAAAAATACCTTCCAATATCTCCTGTTGTGAGAATCAAGGTATCTTTAAGCTCATTATTTCTTGATATTTTGGCATTTGTATAGGCTTCTTTCATTCTTGAAACAAACAGCTGGAACACATGAAAACAAAACAAAACAATTTTAGAGTGCTTGACATTAGTGAAACAAAAACCCCAGTAAGTTACGAAAAACGACCAAAAATGAGTTCACCTCTTTTATGAATCCTTCTTCAGAGTCTAAGGATCCCAGTATGTTCTTTATGCAGTCACTGAAAGCCACTCTTACATCTTTGTCTGGATCTTCCATTAGATTTAATAAAGACCCAACAAAAATCTTCACACTGGACTCATCAGTATTAAAATCCAGATGTTTGCAAAGATGAGGTATATTTTCTATAAATGCTGGGTGGCATGGGTTGGAGGAGGAGAGGAAAAATATTTTTAATGCTTTTAAAAAAAAAATCTATTGAAGTGCATGAAACAGTGACACAAGTACACCATAAAGCACACTATATTTTTTTATGCAAAGAGTAAATATAATCAAACCAGACAAGCTATTTAAAATTCAGATTTTATCAAGTATTATATTCCTAGATATAGCCATAGACCAAAATTAAGCCAAGGTAGTTTAAAAAGAATATCAAAGACAACATCAAACATTATCAATTATATCAACTGAAATACACTGTTTCAAGCACCATTATAGCTATTAAAAAAATAAAAAAAAATAAAGGAACAGAGAAAGCTGCAGAAGTAGTGACTTAGCATCTCATACAGAAGTGCAAAATACTAATACAGGTGAAGTCACTTACCTAGCTTTACTGAACTGGATACTTTGTTCTCGAGGAGAACAAGAAATGGCTTGAAAACACCAGCTTGCACAGAACAAGTTTTTTTGTGAGCAGAAGTCACAGTAAGGCTGCTACATAAAATATCACAAGTAACATGCTTAATAGCAGAGTCCTCTAAGGAAGGTTGTATGCTGAATGTACCAGAAAGACAGCAAGATAATTTCCCTACTATAGCAGCACAAGCCTCCTTGACTAGCTCAGACTCATCTTTGATTTGATTTCTGAAATGGAAACAAAAATGAAACCATTTTAATAGATCATCTACCTAGAAGCTTGTGTTTTTACATTGTCTGAATTCTCTAACTATACTGTAGGTACTACTACGGCAATTTAAGGATCTGTCTCACTAAATTATTTTTTTCCTTTTCAGATTACCCTCAAATTCTATTAAATGTTTTAAGTAGCACTAGGCATGGCAAGTCTGGCATGTTATACAGAAACTGAAGACTAGACACAACAGAAGGCACCAAGACATCTATACAAAAGGCAGAAAAACTGGAAAGATTTTAAGAGACATATGGACAAATACCACATAGATTTAACGGACAGTGATATCTCCTTTTCCCTCCTTAGTTTAAATTTGTTAATTAGAAATGGGGTCTCCAACTAGCGACGTAACTTACAGACTGATACGATAAGTGAGCACTATCATACAAACATCATCACTTACACCTATCTTGTTGATATCTTATGATTTCCAAAATTGAGATCTAACAAATTCTGGATGAAATTGAAATAAATATTTTTGTGCTTCTACTGCATTTCTTATTTGTCCAGTTTTCTTCTTGCAGGAAGACAGAAAAGAAGCACTAATACATACAAAAGAGCTTTGGGTATCATACTGCAGGACTGCACACTTGGTGGATGAAGCAGGAGAGAGAATCCTTTAACACAAGTAGCCCGAATTACTTCATGGGGACTTTGTAGTGCCCAATGATAAACAGATTTTCTCCAATCCAGATGAATGCTTCTCGGGAAGAGAGACAGAAGGAACACACAGTGTGACTGAGTTTGGGGTGCTAAAGAGAAAAAAAATAAAGCAGATAATTACTTGATTTAAACTTTTAAAAATCAATCATGGGCAAAGAAAGTAATTTTACTTTAGAACAATCCAGTGATACATTAGGTTTTATGTACTTCAACATACTTACAGAAACTCTGGGCAGTTTTTTGACTCAAAACTAGAGGATCAAACCCAAAAGCAGATGGCTTAAAAGACGAGTCATGAGGATGGCTGTAAATCCAGGGCAGAGACAGCAATCCACATAAATCATCAAGAATTTGATCACTCAGTGGAATCTTCACTAGGGGGAAAAACAACAAGAACAAAAAACCAGATACTTTCACAGCTCTGTATAGTTTATAAAACAGATGCTCTTTTTATGATCTTAGTTGCTACAAAAAGTTATTTTTCCTATCAACAAAGATTAGTATCACTATTCCCACATGTTGATATCCTACATTTTAGACATACAATAATAAATGATGTAATGCTACATCAAAATAATCTAAAAAATTCATTAAACAGTTGACAGCATTATTACACGAGCAGCAGAATGAACACAAGTTTGGTATCTGGATTTGTAGGAAAACTCTCAGCTGGACTTTAGGATGGCTAGTAAACTGAACTCATAACAACATTTTAGTCTTAGTAGAGTCTGTAATCCATCCTACTAGCTACTTTTAAAAAACCATGCAAGTAGTTAATATTTTTAGTACACTTCCTCCATGCCACATTTGCTGAAGCTAGTTAGAAGCTTTGAAATCTCTGAGTGAAACAGAGATAGTAAGGCATGCTGCCTCTGTGTGCTTTAAAAATAAAACTGCTAAAAGTACGTTTCTTTCTTACACATATTCTCTACCCCCATGTTGTCTCTTGCTCAGATAAAAATCAACAGAAGTACAGACAAAGACTAGTAAATCATGTTCAAAAAGGAATGCAAAGGAAGTTCTCTAAACAGAGAATGCTCTTTTTTAAATTTACTTTTTTTCTTTGTACAGGAATTGGAGTTCTAACACGAGATCTATTATTTCAGTACCTCTACCACAACAAACTAATTTAGTCAGATGCATTCCTAATTTACAGATCCAATGAAAGCCATTCTAGTTTAAAGGATTTCTCACCTTGTGCATACAGCAAAGCATCAAAGATTTTCACTATTCTGTCAATCACTTGTTGTAGGTTAACAATCTGCACAGCAGCCTCTAATAGGTTTCTGCAGACTTTCACTACTTTTGTGATAAAATCAGAGGAAATCCATGTGAACTGTATATTCACCACTGGATCTGAGGAACTCAGAGTATTCTTGCATGTGTCAGAGTTACACAGATGAGTTACTTTCTGATCTATACTGTTAAAACAGAAATCATATGATCAATGCAACAGACTATAAAATATATTGTATTGCTTGTAAGCAAAGTAACTATGAAAATGTACTTCTTCAAAACACACAGGACTTAGCCAACACTTGTCCCGATACATGGACAAGCACTAAATTAATCTACACAAATCATACTAACTGTAACACAAATCATACTAACTGTAACAAGAAACTATTGGTCTCATGGTTTCACCTTGGCACCTTACCTGGTAGAATTTGTTGGGGGAGAACAATGAACTATGCACAAAGCAGCTAGTCGCAGAATTACAGCTATCCCTTCCACAGTCTCAAGAATATTTGGTGTCAGAATTTCTTTCTCAAGGATAAGTATTAAGGATGAAGCTTTCTTTGTGATGGCATTCCACAGAGTGCTCTTCAATTTCATGTTTACAGGACTAAGTCTGTAATTTGATCACATTAATTATTTTCCAACACATACTTTTTCCACAAAAGATTAATAATCGTAGCAAAACCAGAGCTAATCCATGTTGTATACAGGATTAGGAAAATACCAAAGGAAGATTTAGCTTAAATGTGTGCTTTGGGAGAACAACTCCACAATCCTTGGAAGCTCATGGTGATCAGGGTGGTTCCTGATGACTATAAAAAGGTAAACATTACACCCATCTTCAAGAAAGGCAAAAAAAGCAGATCCAAGGAACTACAGGACTACCAACCTAACCTCAGTCCCTGGGAAGGTTATGGAAAGAGTCTTCCTTGAACTCGTTTCCAGACACATAAGAGGCAAGAAGGAAACTGGGAACAGCCAGCACATATTTATGAAGGGCAAATCACACCAGACGATCTTGTTTCCTTTCTACAAGGAGACAGGTAGCTCTGTAGATAAAAGGAGAGCTGCTTATTCAGAGGACCTCAACTGGCTGGAAAACCAGGCTGACATGAACATCATGAAGATCAACAGAGACATACGAAAAGTCCTTCAACAGCCACAAAAAAAGCATGCAACAAAACAGGCTAAGGGCTGACTGGCTTTGGAGAAAATGAGCTGGTAGACTTTGTGGAAAAGATAAACATAAGAGCAGTGTGACCCTGTTGCAAAGAAGGTCAACTACATACTGGTCTGTATTACCAAGAATGAAGGCTGATCATGAGCCCACACCTGGAGTAAAGCATGCCAGAGAGTTCTGAGTGCCCAAATACAAGAAAGATCAACATGCTGGAGCAAGTCCAAGATAATCAGGGAGCTGAAGCACAACACAACCAGAGGCCAAGAGAACTGTCTTTCTTTGTCTGAGAACAACCTGAGTTAACTAGACCTGCTTGAAGCATGTCCAGTGCAACTGCACAGCCACATACATGATTCTGTCATTCTGTATGTGTTATCTCAGGTTTTTCTTTTCAGTGTGTAAAAATGAAAAGAATTTGCATTGAATATATTAAAAACACAGCCTCTTTAAATAAAGTTTGGCTTAAAAATCACGTGTAGATTCTGATCCTTCAAATATCATTTATATCTTTTCCCAGAAGAAATTTCAACGTGGCTGCTATGAAGAAACTGCCTCAAAAAAAGTTGTCATTTGTTATTATTCACAAGCCAAATTACTATAAAAGTAGTTATTTAAGTATCATACACTACTGCTGTAGGTGGTTTCTTTGGATGCTTTGTTAGTAGGCTTAGTCGTCTTCTTTTCTCTGGAACTTCATCACTGCTGCTGCTCCACCCATCAGTATCAGAAGTATATAGCTGGCTCTGATGAAGCTCCTTAAAGATTTCTTCCGTTTGTGTTTTTAATGCTGTATAAAGTGGACTCACCAGATACTGGGATGGACAAACAACAGAGGTACCATGATGTATATGCTATACCTTAGTTCTCAAAGACATTATATTATTATTTCTAACTTAAAATATAAAATTTCAAAATCTTAATTACAAGATGAAAATTCTCATAAGCAATGCAGTTTCCTGTGTTCCTACCAGAGAATGCAGCTTGTACAGCTGTTTCCCAGTTCTTGTCATTATACCTTGCTATCAAAGCCTTCAAGACAGACACACTAAGTTTAAGAGACAATAGATAACGACACACATGTGGGTGAACAGGGTAGATGGAACATTCAGCATATCAACACCTCATTATTAGCATCTCATTATGATTTTAAACTAAAGGAGGGTAGATTTAGATAGGCTGTAGGGAAGAAATTTTTTTTTTTATGAGGGTGGTGAAACACTGGAACAGGTTTCCCAGACAGGTGGAAGATGCCCTATCCCAGGAAACATTCAAGGTCAGGTTGGATGGGACTCTGAGCAACCTGATCTAGTTGAAGATGCCCCTGCTCACTGCCGGAGGCGTGGACTGGATGACTTTAAAGGTCCCTTCCAACCCAAATTATTCTATGATTCTGTTTTAATTCAAACCTTTCTGTCTGCCAGTCCCCAACAAACACGACTAAAGCTCCTAGAAAGTAAGAATTCCTCAGATGAAGGGAAATTACTTGTAAAGCTGCTCTAATATGAGCATACTCTGTGTCTTAACCCCATTTTACACTATGGTTACAGACAGACCTTTGCACCTGCATAGCTTCTCAATAGCTTAATACATCTACAAAACATAGGGTGCAGCTACATCCAACTAATTAAGGAACTCTGACCAGTACAAATGTGTGACAGTTGAGAAACAAGGAGTATCAATCTAATTAGGCAACTAAAAATAGTATTTCCTAGATTTTCTTCTTCGCAGGTTTTTGTACGTGATCTATTCACACAATAAACACAGTTTTTAAAATTAACCCACCTCTTGTTCTTCCTGAGTTCCAAGCACATTCACAAACATTCCACATATGGTACCGATGTGGGCTTTTCTTACTTGTAAAGCAGATTCATAGCCAGCTGGAACAAACTCCAGAAAATATTGCAGCATATGGCAAAAAGCAGCTTTCAGCTTTTCAGACTGAAGACACCTAAACACATCACCTTCAAACAACACACAGAGCTTCTCTAGTAGCATATTCAAGTAGATGGGTTCAATATTTTTGTGAGAATCTGCTTCAAAAGGCAACAATGTCCTCACCAACAGTAAGAGTGGTTCTCCAAAGAGTTCTGATTCTTCAGTATCCATTTCAAGTGCTGAGTGTAGAATTCCAAAAAAGACTGCGAAGAAAACACTGGCCAGCTGTTCAGGAGGTCCTCCTAAATTAATTAATTTTACTAAAAACTTCACTGCCAAAGCTTTTACTTCTGGACTGCCATAGTCCAACAGGGAGCAGCCTATCCCCCAGAGAATAATATCTTGTCTTACAAAAAACACATCTGAAACAATGTCTGTCAGAATAGACAATAATATAATTTCCAAACATTCTACATTGGGCATACCCATCAGCTGTAATGGTGCCAATCTTAAATATCCCACATTGTCACTTGCATTGCTTGAAAATCTCTTTACAGACACCGGCCAGACCAGTCCATCTCCCCAGAGATGCTTTTGTGCATCTGTTTCATGCAGGAAGATTAAGTCTTGGAAAAGCTGTAGCAAGTCTTTTGTTAGTACTTCAAAAATAGAGCAACTCTTCATTTTAAACAGAAAAAGTAAAGAGCAAATGACATCACAAATGTTCTTGTGCAACATGTTGCAGTTTGGAGTTGCAGCAATTCGGAGAAGCCTTGTTATGATCCAGTTACTAAATTCTAGGACAAGAAACAGCAAACAGAAAATTATTAAAACCAAAACCTCTTATTATGACCACCTCCTTGAGAGCAGGTTGCTCATCTGTAAAACATAAGAGAGCTCCTTGAGACAAATGCAGGTAGGCTTAGTAATCAGAGAGCCTTCCCTGGGACACTTCTTCAGCTGATCTTACCGAAAAAGAGGAAAAGGGGGTGGGTGCATGCAGAGGTGGGGGAGAAAGACAGGCATTTTACATTGGGTAGTTCCAAACATTTTCCTCTGCCCAAAAAACCATCGGGCAACAAATGTGTACAGGATCTCTCTGACACGAACTGGGTAATACCACTAAGCAATGGTAGTGAATAAGGTCAAACTCTGTCCTGACAAATTTTAATTATCACAAGTGCAAATCAGTTCACAACATGAAATATTTATCATAATATTCACTTACTTATAAATATGTTAATCCCAAACTTATGAATCTGCCTTTTTCCCATTTTTGTTCTTTTGTATTATCCCATTGTCAGAAAATGTAAATCCTGAAAATATCAAGCTTCAACATAAACATTTTCAACAAACTCACCAATGCAACTGCATTCAGTTTCCACCTGATTTCCATCCACATTTACAAACATAAGCGGGGAAGATTTCATGATATGTTGAATAAAATCAAGCAACATTACAGAGCTTGGCTGTGAATCTGATTTCTTAATCAGTTCCAAAGCAACTTTAAAAAAAAAAAAAAAAAAAGAGATATTCCTGAATTAGAATTGCAATAAATCAGCTTCACTAATTTTGTTCACATCTAAAGAAGAATTTTTTTAATATAAAATACTATAATATGGTATTAAACCTATATAATTATAAATTGGGAGTGTGCGCTTTATTAATCCATGAAGAAGATTTTGTGTACAACGTAAACCCTCTACACGACAACAAACTGTATGAAGAAAAATATAAACTATTCAGCTTAAATATTATTCATTAACACTACATGCATTAACATTTTGTTAGTATCACATCAAACATTAGTTTGATGAGTGAAGAACAGCAAGTAGTTAACATATCAATTTTTAATCACACAATTTTCCCTAGGTTTATGATCTTGGTAGAAAAAAAACTCTAAAAACTGTTCTAAATCTCAAAGAAGTAGAAGTATTTAAATGGTAAGTTCAGCTTAATGAATCAGAAAATTTAGCAAAATAGTAAACATATCTAATGCTGCTATGTAGCTCCACTGAAACAGGTATCTGAATCACATCAGATTGATCCAAATTCCACATGGTTAGTTAGCATAAGAAGGAAACTATCTCAGATTCAGATAGCAATTAACTAGAAAAGTTATTACAAAATACAACACTTCAAAATTGATTCAAAAGCAGTATTATCTAAAGTAGACTGGCCTTTTGTTTTTATTTTTATAGACTTCCCCTTCAGGACTACAAGAATATTAATAAATACATCATCTATAGAGTAACACAACTATGACACTTAAATTGATCAATTCACTAGACAAAATATCAGTCTTACTGAAACAGCTACCTGAAATTATACCTCAGAAACAGTAAGTTACCCTTACTGTGATTCTCCTTGATGTAAACGTACAGACAACTACAAGTGATAATTTTCTAGTATATGTACTTCATAATTACCAAAATGTTGTTAAAGTACTGTAATAATTGGAACCTTAACATGACTTAAAGAGTACTAAGATAAGGCTTTGTTATAATTCTCAAATTAAACATAAAGCTGTTTATATCGAAGTATTTCAATTCTGAAAGACCCTGTGAGTATTAAGACTTGCAAGCTAGTTTACTCAATGAAAAATCACACTACTCCTGATTTTCAACATTGCAAGCATTTATATGCACTGCGTTTCCTCTGTCTTTTTTTATTAAGTTACTTCACATCATAATAGCAAATACCTCATCATGCAAGTTATTAAAAAGTAAGTCAAAAATGGTATTGCATTCAACTTCTAAATCTCTGTGGAAATAAGAGCTGTAACTTTTTCTGGCAGAAATTTCTGCCAGAATCGTAAAGCAGGTCATAATTTTAAAAAATAGGGACATAATACTTACCAACATCTACATCTGTAAGAATTCTGTCAATGAACTGGCAGAGTATTTGTCTTGGTTTCTGCACAACTGTATTGTATTCTTCTGGACTAGCACTAAAATTAAAAGTACATTATTTTGACATTATCCATTTTAAAATACAAAATAGTTATTTGAAGTCTACCTCAACAACACAATGTTAAATGCTGACTTTTTTTTTCTTTCTAGAAGCCTTCAAAAAGAAATAAACTAATTTCTTGTTCTAGCAACCAGCATAATGGCTGTTTCTCTCTTCTTATTCTTCAGAAGTACAAAGTTTTATGAAGTGCTGAAGATAACTTAATTTTGTTACACAGTTATGTTTCGTACCTATCAAATCCACATCTGGTAGACCAAGGGATTTATCTGCATGCTACCAGCAAGCAACAAACCAGTTTCAGTGCAGAAAAAAAAAAAAATTAAGAACCCCTTTCACTTTTGGAATTAACCCACATTATTCAACTGATTAGCTATCAATACCCTGGGTAAGAGCGGTCAATAGCAACTGCTCAGGTGACAGCTAGTTCTTGTCACGTCAAATCTTTAAAATACAATCGTACCTCCACGTCAACTAGCTGCCTACCACAGAACACAGCTGCAGACTTGATGCTGCCATTAAAACTTTAGAGCGTGGTCAAGGTCGTTTAATTCCCAATGAAACCACACTGCGCTGGGGCAACACGCAGGCCAACACGCCTCTCCCATCAGGTTCTACCCGCAGCACCCGTGAGGAAGGGAGTCACCCAGGCAGGCGGCGGGAGGAGAAGGCGACCGCGAGGAGAGGAGGGCACAGGCCCACCCCGGGCGGCCTCGCACTGCGATGGGGAAGGAACCTGCTTTGTCCCCTTCCCACGCCACACATCGGTGCCGAGGCCGGGCGCGCTTCGCGCAGCGCAAAGCACCAGCACCCCCCGACACGCACACCCCCGCTCCGAGGCGGAGGCAGGGTCCGCCCTACCTGGCCAGCTCCCTCAGCGCCGGGATCATGGAAGCCATCTCCAGGCCCTGCCCGGCCATGGCGCCCGCTT